TAATGCTGTGAAGATGGAGATGAAATTAACACCAACTGGCTCCTTCAGATGGAGGATGAATGACACCTTATTCAGAGATGAAGAAGTGTATAAAAGGCCCAAAAACCTTGAGAGACTATTTTGAGATAAATATGAACACCAATGTGGAAAAAGAGTAATCTGGGACGCTAGCAAAGCTGTTATGAGAGGGTTCTTGATACAACAGAATGCATTAAAGAAGAGAACTCAAAATGAGAAGAAGGATAAAATTTTGGAGAAAATAAAAGAAAGTGAAAAGAAATTGAGAGCAAAACCTAAGTCGCAAGAGATTTTGAGAGAAATAAAATTACACCAAGTACAATATATGAAAATGATGAATCAGGAGATAGAATGGAAAATCAAACAAATGAGGCAAAAAACATTTGAGTTGGCTAATAAATGTGGGAAATTGTTGGCTTGGCAAATGAAAAAAAAGACTAAAATTAAATACAGTTACAAATTTAGAAGTGGAAGGAAGGAATGTACAGAACCCAGTTGAGATTAGAAATTGTTTCCAGAGGTATTTTAAACAATTATATACACAAGGACCACAGAAAGAAATTGATTTAGATCGATTTTTGAAAACAAATTGATTACAAAAAATCTCTCAGGAAAGTAAATCAATGTTGAATTATAAAATAACAGAACAGGAGATAGAAGGTGCCATTCAGAATATGCAACTAGGTAAATCTCCAGGACCGGATGGACTGACCTCTAAATATTACAGATCCTTAAAAGAATGGTTGGTACAACCTTTGAAGGAAGTCTGTAACGAAATAATGGGTGGGAAAAGGGCACCAGAGTCGTGGAAAGAAGCGTATATTACACTTGTACCGAAAACAGAAACTGAAAAGACGCAACTTAAGAACTACCGCCCCATCTCATTGCTTAATGTGGATTATAAAATCTTTGCAGACATTTTGGCTAAAAGACTAAAAAAAGTGTTAATGGAAGAGATTCATAAAGACCAAGCAGGCTTTCTCCCGGGTAGACACTTGTCAGATAATGTGAGAAACATAATCAACATCTTAGAAAAATTAGAAGTGAACATAAATACTAAGGCAGTTTTGATATTTGTGGACGCGGAGAAAGCTTTTGACAATATTTCCTGGAGCTTTATGAAGAAGAACCTACAGGGGATGGGGGTAGGCCAAGGCTTTGAAAACGGTATAAGTGCAATTTATTCAGAACAAAAGGCTAAATTAATTGTAAATAATGTGGTGACGGAAGAATTTAAGATAGAAAAAGGGACACGACAAGGTTGCCCAATCTCCCCATTGCTTTTTATATCGGTCCTGGAGGTTTTGCTGAATATGATTAGAAGGGACCAGTTGGTTAAAGGTATACAAGTCGGAGCCAAACAGTACAAATTGAGAGCATTTGCAGATGACTTGGTATTGACGTTACAGGAGCCAGAATCTAGTACCAAAAGGGTTTTAGAACTGATTCAAGAATTTGGTCAGGTTGCAGGATTTAAACTGAATAAGTTAAAAACTAAGGTTTTAGATAAAATTTTAACACCGATTGAGAGAGAGAGGTTTCAGAATGAGACAGGTTTAACAGTGGTTAAGAAAGTGAAATACCTGGGGATTAACATGACAGCAAAAAATGGGAATTTATTTAAAGACAATTATGAAAAATGCTGGGCTGAAGTGAAAAAAGATTTAGAAATTTGGTCAAATTTGAAGCTTTCACTGCTGGGCCGTATTGCTGCGATAAAAATGAATGTATTGCCTAGAATGTTGTTTCTGTTTCAAACATTGCAAATTTTGGACAAAATGGACTGTTTCAAGAAGTGGCAGAGAGATATCTCTAGATTTGTCTGGCAGGGCAAGAAGCCTAGAATAAAATTTAAAATACTAACAGATGCAAAGGAAAGAGGTGGATTTGGCCTGCCAGACCTTAAACTTTATTATGAATCAGCAGCTTTTTGCTGGTTGAAAGAATGGCTGCTTCTTGAAAACGCAGACATTTTGGATCTAGAAGGTTTTAATAATGTATTTGGATGGCATGCATACTTGTGGTATGACAAGGTCAAAGCACATAAAGCATTTAAAAACCATATTGTCAGGAAAGCATTGTTCAATGTTTGGATAAGATATAAGGACGTATTGGAAAACAAAACCCCAAGGTGGCTGTCACCGATGGAAGCGAAAGCTTTGAAAAAGCTCAATATGGAGGTCAAATGGCCGAAATATTGGGAAATTTTGGAACAAGAAGGAGACAAATTGAAATTGCAGAGTTTTGAGAAACTAAAAAACAAAGTGAGAGATTGGCTTCATTATTATCAGATAATGGAGGCATATAATTTGGACAAGAAAATTGGCTTCCAGGTGGAAAAATCAAAATTAGAAACAGAACTGCTAGAACCCAAAACTAAGAATCTGTCAAAGATGTATAACTTGCTGTTGAAATGGAATACACAGGATGAAACGGTGAAATCAGCTATGATTAAATGGGCACAAGATGTTGGACATAACATAATGATGGCTGACTAGGAACAGTTATGGATCACAGGTATGAAGTTCACAACATGTAATGCCTTGAGAGAATATTATGAAAATGATATACAGGTGGTACATGACACCAGTCAAGCTTGCAAAAATCTATCATTTGCCCAATAATAAATGTTGGAAATGCAAGGAAACTGAAGGTACATTCTTTCACCTTTGGTGGACGTGCCCAGGGATTAAGGCTTTCTGGGAGATGATTTATAATGAAATGAAAAGGGTATTTAAATATACCTTTCTTGAGAAACCAGAGGCCTTTCTCCTGGGCATGGTCGGCCAAATGGTGCTAAAGAAGGATAGAACTTTCTTTATGTATGCCACAACAGCAGCAAGAATACTTATTGCAAAGTATTGGAAGACACAAGACCTACCCACTCTGGAAGAATGGCAGATGAAGGTGATGGACTACATGGAATTGGCCGAAATGACTGGCAGAATCCGAGACCAGGGAGAAGAGTCGGTGAAAGAAGACTGGAAGAAATTTAAAGACTATCTACAGAAATATTGTAAAATTAATGAATGTTAGAATGATGTTAGAATGAAGTTAAGTGGTTTAAGCAGCAATGCTATAAAGGCGTATGTAAAAATGGACAGTTAACAGGTGAAATTCCAAAGTTATAGTATATTAAGTTAAAGGACTAAGAGAAAATAAAGAGGGAAAGAAATTGCTGAATTAACTAACTGAATTGGAATACAAAAAAGGGAGGTATGAGGTCAGGGAAGTAAGGAAATGAATGTAAGGCATGGAAGACTGATATATTTTTAAGTGTTTTTTATCCTTTTTTTCTGTATTTTGTATTTTGTATTTTTCTTGTATTTTTACTTTTGTCTTTTGTTTTTTTTGTTTTTTCTCCTTTTCTTTACTTATGTAATTCTTATTTTTGAAATCTTAATAAATATCATTAAAAAAAATAAAAAAAATGAAGAAAGATTCTAGATTAGCTGATACATTAATTTTTCCCTACATGCTAATTCTATATGTAGGGATTTTTTTCATTTATGAAATTTTACAGAGGTATGCTCTGCTCTTCAACAAGTTCCTAGGGCAACTTACAAAGGATCACATTAAAAATCAAACTGAAATCCTAATTTAAACGATATATTAAAATTACAATTTAAATAGCACGTGAAACAGCAGAAATAGTTTTCAGCTTTTAGGTTACATATTTCAACTTTGTCAATCAAGTTGCATGATGCAAACAATGAAATCACAGAACAATAAGCACATTGTAATGATTCATTAACATGATGCTGAACATGAAATGTACAAATCCTGAGCAGACCAAATAATTTTTAATTAAAACAGCATCATTCAGCAACGGTCCTAATTAATTCTATCAGTAGCAACTTCCAAGTTCAATGATATTTCAGGAAATGTTCCAGTCTCTCCTACTAGTAATTTCACTACCCTTATGTAGAATAAATAGCTTTTGCAAAAATAGCTAGAAATCTTTCTATTTAGCAGACTTGGAGTAAACAATCTGTTAGGTAAAGGTAAAGGACTCCTGGCCAGTTAAGTCCAGTCAAAGGCAACTGTTAATAGCCATTCTGTACCTACCTGTATAAAGTAAACCACTGAACCTCTTTTGTCCCATATGAAACTTATTTGTAGGCAACCCATTTAAAGTATTGCAAAGAATTCCTTTTTGCTTACCTAACATTGGAAACTGGCATTGCCAACATTTGATCAGGCACCTGTCCTAACCATGTAGCTTGTTAGGCTACAAACATGGTTCACCATCCCTGTTCCTGTTTTTAAAGCTCTACCAAGCAGCCAACATCTATTACACATACTAGCTTATTAATTTATGCTCTGTTCACAGTAAATCTTGGTAGTCAGGTCCAGAGAGGCTCCAGCCACCAAATCAACCACACCCACACACCGCTCCTGTTGCCAATCAGATAATTTACCTGCCCTGCCCAGGTATTCAACATTTCTTTTGATCCCTGTTGTTCCTGATCAGCATGTGCACAGGTGGCACTGAACAGGAAAGGTCCCTTGTGTTTCCTGGTCTGGCACAAGTTTTGCCCTGACCAGCTGCCTAAACTGCTGAGTACAAAGTTGATCCTTTACATTGCCATTTTATTTTATTTATTTTTTGTACAGTACATAATTTTTATTAATTTTCATTAAAATCCAATGACAACCACATTTTATCAATATCAAATTACAATTCCCATCCAAATATATACATTGCCTTTTAGAAGAGATAATGCTTGAAATGTATTATTATCATTTAACAGAATATTTCAGTGTGATAAGTACAATTCAGATGCACCCTGTTCACTGGAAACCTAATTGTTAGAGATTGCAGTGTAATACTTTTCAAACAAAAATGGGTATTCAAAGCTTATTTATCTGCTAACTTCTGGAATGGATGCAATATTGACTACTGTCATATCAAAATAAACAATTGAAAATCTTTTAACTTCTAAGAATGCGTGAAGCCAAAACAGTTGCATCTCCCCATATATATGTATATGCATATGCATATGCGTATATATATATATATATATATATATGCACACACACACACACACACACACACACACACACACACACACTAGGAACACTGACTCTTATGGCCAGGCCTCCAAATGCACCGAAGAGTCCAACATTAATATCTTTCCTGCTCTGTTTCCTACCTGCTGATAAGGTTTCTTTTAAAAATATGACTACTGTCTTAGTTCTACAAAAAGCACTGGGAATTCCCTGTTGAGGATCAGTCGTAGTTTGCACAACTTAAATTGTTAATGGGCATTCTGAGCCACTGAGGTCACCTAGATCTCTATTGCAAATAATGGATCCACTGATGGCAAGCTAAGATGCTTTAAGAATGTTTAGTAACACTGATAAATCATGAGGTGAATTGAATTCTTCAACTTAAAAAATCCCAAATTGCAATTCTGAAAAGTAAAATTCAATAACTGGAATATGAAAAGCTGAGTATAATGCAATGACATGCAGAGATTCTGTCTCTGTTTTTGACGGTGTTTAAACACCACAAACAATTCTAGTAACCTTAACTATATGGATCCCTCTTATTAATACAAAACTTGCTGGGTAAGATCCTTTCCATCGCTTTGTCATAAGACAGCTCTTTGACTGCCTTTAATATACTTGGCTGTGTTTGAGCTGCTCACATCCTTCTTAATGCTTGAAAATGGCTATTTCAGCAGCATGAGAACAAATAGCTAAAGACAGTCAACTTTCATCTCATGTTTGGGAATTGATCAATTTCCTTCATTAACTGGATTAATCCATAACCCACAGGACTGCATTAAAAGCAAGACAAAGTAGTTTACTGAAAAGACCTTAAAAAAAAAGTCTGATGCCATTTGTCAATGTCCATTTTTAATATAGTTCTTTCCTATCCGTTATAATGGGAAATTCAATAAAACTATTTTACAATGATAATAATAATATAGTTCTTTCCTTGTGGGCTTCAAAGTGCCACACCATTAAACTTGATATTATGCCATTTTGGTATCCTACTGCTCTGTTGTAAGAAAATATGTTAAAAATAATATATGATAAAAAATAATATATCAAACAGAGGATTGTATAGTGTGTTTAAGTTGTTTTGCATCTGGCATTTTTGTTTTTGACATTTGAAAAATGCTCATTTTTAAAAGTAATGATTGTCAAGCTCCTCCCTCCATCAATTACAGTCATACCTTGGCTCCCCCTGCAAATCAGCTCCCGAATAATGGAAACTCAGAAGTGACTGTTCCAGTTTTCGAACGTTCTTTTGGAAGCTGAAAGTCCAACGGGGCTTCCACAGCATCCGATTTGCTACAGGAGCTTCCTGCAGCCAATCAGAAGCCGCGCTTTGGTTTCCGAATGTTTCCGGAACGGATTCCGTTCGACTTCCAAGGTACGACTGTATTGCTAAATAGCAGCAAGTACTTCAGATTACAGCAAGTAGTGGGGGGTCAGGGAAGAGATGCTGGACATCTTTCTCAAGTTTGGCAGATGAATTTTGGATCTGCCTTTCTTTGAACTGCTCCCATCCCAGCACGTGACTTAAATAACTTGTAACTATGTTTTGTCTCTTATATTATAACTTTGAGGGCCTGTCTTATTTTTATTGATTGTGTAAGCCTCTCTGGGATCATTTTTTGACTTAAAAGTGAGGTAAAAATGTTTTAAATATAGAAATGCTGTAAATGATTTCTTACTACTGATTTCAATGCTATTTTTATATCTGAAGAAAATAAATCCTGTATTCAAAGAAGTGTATTGTATTCAGTTTAGAAGTGTTTTGTAGTCATGGAATATAGCCAATTAGTAATGCAACAAGAACAGAAACAAATATAGATAACTAAATAATTAGACCCAGAACAGGAATATGAACACAATGATACATGTTTCATTTGCGTATGTGTTTAACCCAATTAACTGCAGATAAATAGAAGTACAAAACTAATCCACTGTGAAGTTCTGTAGAAAGAGTTTACTATTTTACTCACCCAGATCATACAGGATAAAGAATAATGTCAAAATAGGCTGTACAATATAGTCTAGTCTATTAAATTAGCAGTCCATTAGCTTCATATTCCATTTACATGATACTGTTTAGGGTTATCTATTGGGTTTCATGTTTAGATATGGGTCCAGGTCATTTGACTAAAGGTTACATTCCTGCCTATCTACTACCCTCCAAAGTTACTATTCCTACAGGTTTTCAGTTTTGTGCTTGTAAGAATATTCACACAACTGGAAGTTTGTGGAAGGATAATCAGCATACGGGACATGTGTGTGTGTGTGTGTGTGTGTGTGTGTGTGAGTGAGTGAGAGAGAGAGAGAGAGAGCATGATCATGCTGCAGAAAAATGGCAGGAAGGGAAAGACAAAAGCTTAAGCAAATTCTGCTACTTTGCTGAGTGGTCGGCTGGGCTAAGTAGATGGCCATCCCGTCCCCTCCCCGGGGACGCCACAGATTGGCTCATTTGAAGGATGGGTTTGCTGGGAGCCTGGGAGCCTCTGCAGCAGCCAGAGGGGACAAAGGAAATGTTCTAAAATGGCACTGTGCATCTGGGTGAGAGAGGAGATGCCATGTTGGGCCGCAACCACCACTTACCGGCACGACGGTAAGCGGTGCTTACCACACAAAAATGTCCCTTTCCTCCACCCCTGCTACTTTTGTTCTCACACACAGAAATCAGTGGTAGCTTAACATTTTCCTTTCTCAGTGTCACCCCTGCAGCTGCATAGTATTAGCAATGATCATTGTTCTAGTGTCTGTTTGGCAATTTTTAATTCACAGGAAAACGCCTTTGCAAGGGTCTCCTTCCTTCAATCGCACATTTGCCAAACAGGCAAAGCCACAGAAAAACAAACTCTTAACTCTCAATCACTGTGTGAAATGACATTTTAAGTTACCAAAAGCCTTTAAAAAAGCAGCCATCCTTGCACACTGAATGGAATTTATCACTGACATCAGTGTCAAAACCTCCATTAAGGTAAAAGTTGCGGACTAAATCTAAATACAGTTCTAATTTCTGTGATCTCTCAGTTTGGGCCTGTAAAGGTTTTGTGGGGAACCAAGGACTACAAAACAAAGATCCGATCCAAGTCCACAAAACAGAAAAGTCCGCTACCTTCATTCTTTGGAATGTCTCTGTCTTAATCAAGGAACTGATATTTTCATAATACATAAATCCTCTTTTATAAACCCTCTTTATGGTTTCACAAAGAGCTATATAAATCACATAATTACAAATAGTACTGCACAGTGCAGATAGGTTTTAAATTATTATTTCATAATAGTTTCCTCTTTACCTGAATGAGAAACAATGTTATCATCTCAGGAAAGTCTATTAACTTCAAAGGAAAAAGAAAGCCAAATTAATTGAGGGAATTCATTGATACTAAATAAAAAGGTTGAGCTTTAGTGTTTTGCTTTTCTTGCTCTTCCATGTATGCTGCAATATTCTTTAACTTCACCTCTCCGATTGTTATTGTTATTAAGAAAAGATACCCCAAAGGCCCAAAACACCAAATGCTGCTCTCAAGATAGCTTCTTAATGCTCTACTATAATGTAATTCAGGAACAGGTGGCTAATAAATTAACCAAAGGTATGCAATCTATTATTGACTGGCACCATTCCAACTACATAGCTCTCATATGACAGCTTGTTTCATGTAAATTTTATTGTATTGCAGGTTTCATTTCTCACCAAGGGACTGGCTTGTTAATGGGGAGAAAATGCAAATGATATTTTATCCTTTAAGCAGAACCTGCTAAACAAAAGGCAGGTGTGCAATATTTTACCATGTTACCATTCATGATATAATTAATGAGGAACTTAGATATGGCAAAAAATATTTAGATCATTAACCTACTGAAAACATTCAAATCTAAGCTAATTCTCTCTGGCATTTTTTTATATTCAAAGTACTATTCAAAAGGATACTTTGGTGTGCATTCAGTGTACATTTAAAGCACAAAGCTTCCAAAGAATTCTGGGAACTGTAGTTTGTAAAGGATGCTGGGAATTGTATCTCTGTTTAAAACCTACAGTTTCCAAGGTTCTTTAGGGGGGAGTCATGTGCTTTAAATGTGTGTCAAATATGTTTTTAATGTATGGTGTGGATCGGATGTAATGCTAGTTCAGATGTAACTATAAATTCGAGTGTTACATCCTTGTGGATGCTCTTCTTCGTGTGCCACTTGAAGTCTTTGCTTCTCTTTTGAACTAACCAGTTGTTTTTGTTTGAACTGGGAACAAACTGGCAGTTGGTTTTAGCTGTGCATAATGCAAACAGGCCAGAATCGTAAACCACAGTGTGAACCTGAATGTGTGTGCTGAATGTGTGGTGATTGTGCATGTGAGTGCACTGTGTGTCTGACTCCCAACGCTTCCCCCAGGCCGAAAAGGGCTACCTCCTCCTCCTCTACACCTTTCTGCTCTAAAAAAGGTAAAGATAAAGGTACCCCTGGCAGTTAAGTCCAGTCGCGAATGACTCTGGTGTTGCGGCGCTCATCTCGCTTTCAGGCTGACAGAGCCAGCGTTTGTCCGCTCTGCAGACAGTTTTTCCGAGTCATGTGGCCAGCATGACTAAGCCGCTTCTGGCGAAACCAGAACACGGAAACGCGGTTTACCTTCTTGCCAGAGCACACGGAAACGCGGTTTACCTTCTTGCCAGAGTGGTACCTATTTATCTACTTGCACTTTGATGTGCTTTTGAACTGCTGGGTTGGCAGAATCTGGGACCGAACAAGGGGAGCTCACCCCATTGCAGGGATTTGAACCGCCAACCTTCTGATCGGCAAGCCCTGGCCTCAGTGGTTTACACCACAGCGCCACCCGCGTCCCCAGGCTAACTCCTCCTCCTCTACACCTTTCTGCTCTACACATGCATAAATACGGCTCTGCTATATTGCTGGATAAATTCTTATTTCTTGCTCCCTTCTTTTCCTTCCGAATGCAATGATCTCCTGAACCGTTAAAAGAACAGTTTAGCCAAAAAGACACTTGGAAACAGCCTTTAATGATCCTGAAGCTTACCCACAGAAAAATCCCCAAAGAGTAACTGAAAATGCTCA